TAAAAAGATAAAGACTGAATGACGTTTTCTTTTAAGGACTTTACCATCTACTGGGGTGGCAACATCTACAAAAGTAACTACACTACAAAGTAGGTGTATATCTGCGGCTAAGATAGGCAACCTCAGTCAGCTTTGTTTAATGGAAACAGAAGCTCAGGAAAAACAGATGAGTTCACCAGCATTTCACTGACAAGAGTCTGGGGAGCCAAAATCACAATCACCATGTAGATTCAGAAAGTAGGATGGCAATAGTAAATAATTTATAAAAGCATCAGGAGACACTATTTCAGGCATTTTGCATGCATTTTCTTATAGAGACCCATAATAACTTTCATACGCATGTAATATCATTAAGTCCATTTCACAGGTGAGAAAATTAAGGTCATTAGAAATTAAGAAAAACCTGCCCAAGATGACTCAGCTAGGATTGGCAGAACTTGCAGTCAGACCACAGAGCCCATGATCTTAACCACTCTGCTGTACTGCTGTACACATGAGTGTAAAAACACACCCTTACACAGATCCAGATCCAGAAGGAATCATTTCACTGTGCTCCATTTTGTTGAGCGCTACCAACCTTTGGGAACTACCAAAATCAGACTCTTTATGCCAAAATTAGAAGAATATCAAATTCTCACAAACTCCAGACTTTCTGAAGCCATTGAAGTTTGTTGAACCCCTAAAACTATTCCCCTGAGATCATCTTTAAACCTGAAACCAAAAATACCCTGTGAAGTCTTCTTAAAACCAAGCAATAGTTTAGTTATATTAGTAAAAAATGTCTGCCTTGAGCATTTTACTTCTCTAAGATCTGTCTATATTGGATCAAACTGACAACAGCAACTCAAAAGATTAGATAGGAACCTTAGCAGGGACAGTGAGTTTATGTAAATGGGGGAAGAACATCTCCAAAAGGTTATTGAGAATGGTTATACACTCAAAGAATGTATGAATGTCATTGAATCATACATATAGACACTACTGAAGTGATGTATGTTTTGCTGTGTATATTCTAAACAAAAGCAGCAAAACAAATTTCTAAAATATATATCTTGAGATAAAGAATGTGAAGGCAATCTGATCCAAGCTGAGAGAAGGGAACTATGTCTGGCTATCTAGCATTGACCATATGTTCTTCAGCTCCGGGCCTGTAGACATCCAAATAATCTTCACAGAACAGTGTTATCTGAGGTGGTGTGTGGGAAAGTGACACACACTCCTCATACCGGGTGGTAAGGCGGCTGCTTGGCTGACAGCCGGCGGGGAATTCGTGGAACTTGGATGGCCTTCAGAATTTGTACCCTGTAAAGCAGGTCAGCTTATCTTACTACGTTTATTTTTACTCCAGAGAATTTACCATCATGGGAACCCTGTCCCCTGTGGTGGTCTGAGTGCACAGGACAAACCCAAACAATGGAACCAGAGCTCCAGAGAAGCAAAAACTTGGCTTCGTTCACTCCTGAGAGGACCCAATTTTAAAGGAAGGCAGCATCTTAGTGATGCTTAGAGAGGAGGTTGCTAAGAGCATCATTCTGGTGTACCTTCTTTCTCTGGACACATATGGGGTTTCTTTAAGACACTTAGACAGTTTCTGTGAAGTTACCACTCAACCACCTTACTAGGATATAGGATACAACAGGCCATCCTGGAACATCAGACACTATCCTCCTACTATACCATAACCCTAGTAGCCCTTTTCAATCATGTGGTCTCTGGAAATGTGCCAGACATTTTCCAATGCAAGAACGCTCATGATGAGATAGGTATAATGGCAGAGCAAAGAAGACTAAATAATCAAAGTACCATAGTTCTCAATTTACACATTGATATACCCTATAGCCTGAGCTCTTTATGACCAGTAAGAATTTTTTATAAGTTCTGGGAACAGGAAATGCATGTTAACTTGCATGGTTGACCAAGTACAAAGCCCATCTCTCAATATGGTACTACAGGGGGAAATACAGAATTATAGCAGAGCACAACCTTGTTGAGCAAATGAGTGAATGAATAAATGCATACTTTGGAGTCCTGGTGTGATGTTGCAGTTAATGAGCTGGACTGCAAGGTTGGAGGTTCAATCCCACCAGCTGCTCCTCAGTAAACACTGTACAGGGTGGCTATGAGTCAGAACTGACTAGAAGGCACTTAACAACAACAGACCTGAATGACTAAATGAGAAGGAGAAATGCTTTCCTACCTGAGATATACTTAATATCTGGCTTTGTCAGTTCCAAAATTCGTTTATAGCATTTAAAAGAAACAAAATCAAATCTAGTTGCTATTGGGGTTACCCCCAATTTGTGGATCAGCAAAGTTTCTGTTGCCGGTCAGCAAAGAGTATTTGTCTTACTTTATCCATTTTATTTTTTAGAAACTCATCTTTACTTGGAAAAAGGCGTATTTTCAGCAGCTCTCTAGTTGTACCATATGTGCAAGAGTCTATTCTGCTCACTCATAAGGGGAACGTGTTCACAGCAGGGGTGGATAGGAAATGAAAACAAGTAAGAGTAGCAAGTGGCCTATTTTGGAAGGGCTTGTGAAAGATCTCATCTCTGAAAGGTAGGAACTCACTGGTGAAAAACAGCATCCTCAGCATCACAGCAAAAAGTAGCAAGTCTTAAGACACTGGTGGGGTTTAGAGAAAGGAATCCTTCAGACAAAATGGAAAAGTATTTAGCTGTTAAATGTTTGGCAGTTCAAACCCACTTGATGGCATTGGCAAAGAATAAGGCTCTGGGAATTGATGGAATAAAAATTGGAATTTTTAAACAAACTGATGAAACACTGGAGGTACTCACTTATCTATGCCAATAAATTTGGAAGATACCTATCTAGACAGCTGACTAGAAGAGATCCATATTTGTGCCCATCTCAAAGATAGGTAATGCAACAGAATGCAGAAATAATTGGACAATATTGCATGCAAGTAATATTTTGCTAAATGTAATTTAAAAGTGGCTGCAACAGTCCATTGACAGAGAACTTGCAGACACTCAAGCTGGATTCAGATGAGAATGTGAAATGAGAGATATCATTGCTGATGTCAGATGGATCTTGGCTGAAAGCAGAGAATACCAGAAAGATCCTCAACACTGGTCGAATAAACAACATCCATATAAATGGAGAAAAGATGAAATTGTCAAAGACTTCATTTTGCTTGGATCAACTATCAACACTTATGGAAGCAGCAGTAAAGAAGTCAAACAATTTTATGCAAATCTGCTACACAAGACTTCTTTAAAGTGTTGAAGAGCAAAGATGTCAGTTTGAGGACTAAGGTGTGCCTGATCCAAGCCATGGTATTTTTAATGACTTCATATCCATATGAAAGTTAGACAGTGAATAAGGAAGACCATAGAAGAATTCATACATTTGAGTTATGGTGTTGGAGAAGAATATTAAAAGTACCATGGACTGCCAAAAGAACAAACAAATCTGTGTTGAAAGAAGTACAACCAGAATGCTCCTTGGAAGCCAGGATGGTCAGATTTAGTCTCTCGTATTTCATACCTGCTATCAGGAGGAACCAGTACCTGGTGAAGGATATCATGTATGGTATAGTGGAGGTTGGAGAAAAACAGGAAGACCCCCAATGAGATGGATTGGCGCCGTGGAAGCAGCAATGGGCTCAAGTGTAGTAACAATTGTGAAGTAGTGCAGTTCCGGACAGTGTTTGGTTCTGTTGTGCATGGGGTCTCTATGAGTTGGTACCAACTTGTTAGCACATAACAACAAGAACAATATGGAGTCCTGGTGTGTCATTGTAGGATAAGCACTTTACTACTAACCACAGGACTGATAACCAGCCACTCCTAGGAAAAACTATACAGGGTTGCTATGAGTCAGAAACAACTTGATGGCACTTAACAATAGTACTAAGCAACCAGAACATGTAGAGTGAGACTGAGGAGTTCAATTGGCCTGTCACACCTTGGAAGGTTTGCATCCATGTACTAGGACCCTTGGTGGGTGCTACAAATAGGATTTTGACCTTCTTGACTGTGTAGATCTTACAATACAGTGGGTGCCATAAACTGGTGCCATAAAGACTCCTTGATAAAAAGCTCAAAGCTGGGGTTCCGGTACTAGTTTTCCCTAGGTGACCTCATGGCCCTGGACAAAATGCTGCACTCATCTGAGTTTCCTGTGCTAATGTGTTGTTGTTGTGAAGTGCTGTCAAGTCAATTCGGACACATTGCAACCCATTGCAAGGAGTGGCTGGTGGGTTTGAACCACCATCCTTGCGGTTAGCAATCCAGTTCTGATTCTACAGCACCACACCACGACTTCATGCTATATATAGGGAAGATTTATGTTACGTTTCTAGGATTCTGCTCTTGAGTAAGGAGTAAAGGATCTCTGGTAGCATAGTGGTTACGAATCGGCCTGTGACCCGCAAAGTCAGCAGTTCGAAACTACCAGGTGTTCCACGGGAGAAGGATGAGGCGTTCTGCTCTCGTAAAGATTTCCAGCCTTGGAAACCCTGTGCGGGATCACTATGAGTCAGAACCAACTCCGCAACACATAGCCACCACCACTCTTGAGTAGAAGAAACATTTATTATTTAATGGTCATTAAGTCATTGTATTTCTCATTGGTTTCTTATTTTAAAATGCAAATAAATTTAATTCTGTTATCTTTTCTCTTGAAATAGAATGAATAATAGGATCTTGTATTTGTAAAACTTTATGTTCCTTTCCATCTATCAATTTATTCATCCTTTCTTCAAATTATGTATTCATAGACAGATCTAAAAAACATTGTTCCCAAGTTTCCTTCATGCGAAAGATTCCAACTTGTTTGAATTTTAATGGTGAGATGCCATTTCTGCAAACATAACAAAGGCTCTATTATTTCTATGAAAATATAATGATATGTTATAATTCTAGGGCCAGTGAACTAGTGGTTTGACTCAGTAATTGTGAGAAGCTGGGTCTTGGGAAGAGATCTGTTTAGCTTTTGTATTTATTTCCTTGTATTTCTTGGGTTGCTCTCTTTAGGTACCAGACGTGCTCCAACAATGGGCTGGTGGCAGGGTTCCAGAGCCGCTACTTCGAGTCAGTGCTGGATCGTGAGTGGCAATTTTACTGCTGTCGCTATAGCAAGAGGTGCCCGTATTCCTGCTGGTGAGTTTGGCAACCACTTCCAACCCCATACAGATTATTGAGACAGGAGGAGAACATGACAGTTTTCTGCCTTCAGATAAGCCTCAACTGTCACCGGCTAGCTGCGAATGAAGCAGCTAGCATACAGAAAGGAGAAAAGGAACTTACAAACAAATGGACAAATGAATGAAAGGAAAGGCTAGAAGAATGTCCTCTTGGGAAGGACCTTGGAGGTTATTCTACTCCTGGCTCCCACTCCCTTCTCTTGATAATAGAGGAAACGGAACAGCAAGGAAATGACTTGCTTAAAGTCACCCAACTATTTCATGGGTGTGCAAAGTCTAAAGCTCATGGTTATGCCAAGTTCAAAGCTGAGGGCTATTGACTCGAGGTCTATGTTCCAATTCTTTGCTCTCCACCATTCTAATCTCTCATCATATTATGTGGGAGCCTTCTTTGGGAGAAATCAACCCTTTCATAGGTCAGAGTCTTAACCACAGCATATAATAATAGGCAGAAAATGGCTATTATAGAGAACTTTTGTCCCTTTCCATATCCTAAAACTGATGCAAAATATCCCCTGACTTAGCTTTCTATTGACTCCAAAGAGTGTGTATATATTTATTTACCTTAGTAACTCATGACTTGTCTATTGCTCTTCCATCTGCAAACAAGCCAGGCATTTCAGCCTTGGACAATGGTTACCAAAGTGTGAACATTTGAAGGTTGGCTCACTCAAGTGATTTATCTCTTTACAATGTGATGTTTGGAAGGGCAGCCTTGAGGGTTATGCTTGTTCTCTGAAATCAGTGTTACTCCACAGATGCCAAAGTGGGGCACAATGTCTCTAGGGATAAACAGCTTCCAAAGTGTGGTGTGTTTTTTTGTTGCTTTTAAAAAATAATGACAGATAGTAAGCTCAGAGTTGAAAGTCAGTCAGTATTGGCAGAGGCCTCTTGCAGAGGCCAAGCTTCTCAAATCACAGCAGGCAGCTCTTTCCTACTCTCCTCTCTCATTGGGACCAACTCCAAAACTACTTCCATAGACCACTTCTTACTTAACCATGGCCAGAAGGCAGACACAGCTACGGTGTACAATATACCTGTGGCAGTTCCTAGATCTCATGTGGTTGAGGAAATGGATCAGTATATTGTAGGCAACAAGAAACTTGAGCTCAAATCTTGGCCCTGCTTCCTCTACTGTTTTCTCTAGTAAAATTAACTTTGTTGTTGTTGTTGTTAAGTGCCATAGAATCTATTCCGACCCATAGCAACCCTGTATAAGGTTTCCAAGGAGTAGCTGGTGAGCTTGAACCACTGACCTTGAAGTTCAAATGACTTTGCAGTCTGATGCATTAGCCCACAGCGCCACACCAGGACTCCAAAAGTGAATATACGTCTCTAAAAACAAATAACAGTCCTGCTGCTGTCAAGTCAATTCTGACTCACGACAGCCCCAAGTGCTACAAGGTTGAACTGCTTGTTCCATAGGTTTGTTGTTGTTTTTATGTAATCCCCGGGACTTTCTTCTATGGGGCCTCTGGGTTGGTCTGAATTGCCAACTTTTAGGTTAACAACCAATCACAAACTGCATCGCCTAGGGACATTTACTTCTCTAAAGAGCTTCAAATCCATCACTTTAAACCATAATAATCTTTTCTGAGATTTTTAAGAATCTGATGAAACTATAGGACTTATCTTAGGCAGGTAGGAGAGACATGAACTTAAGTATATTCACACAGAAGTTTGCAAAGAATGTCCGGAGTTGTCAAATTGCTGGATATCCTCCCAGGAACCTTAAATCACATGTTCAAATCCCCAGAACTAGAATATCTTTGAAGGCATTTTGAGTCCTAAAATACTTTTGCAAAAGGCAATGCAAATACCCAGAATTAGATTACAATTCCTAAAATGAGTTGACCCCAATGAGAGAGGAGCGTAGGAAAGAGATGCCTGCTGCGATTTAAGAAGCTTGGCTTGTCTTTTTCTCTTCATCAATCCACTAAGAGAATGGCATGCCCACATTGTAACTGGCTTTCCTTTGTTATAAGATATTAAAATGGTAAACAAATGATCAACGAACTAATATCCACTTAATCTATTTACCACGTTAGACTCCAAAGGAGAAGATCAGGTTTGGGGTAGACTGGGTGGCCAAGAGGACTGTGTTCAGCAGCAGGAAAGAAGTGAAAGATGAGTCATTCCAGATGGACTGCAGTGAGGACAACAGGCAGTGTAGGGGCACCTAGATGACCAGATGAGGGTTTCCTGTTCCCCTACCCTTCACAGATGCCTCTGTTATAGCACATAATGCTCTGTGTTTTAATACTCTGCACAGTTCCCTCTCTCCAATTAAAGATGGGGCTCACTTTGCTGAGCAGAGTGTTTGGAATGGGGAGATGCATGATAATTATTGAGTGAGTGCTTGGCTAAATGATTCTAGAGGGAACCCAGAGTAAGATAAATTAATGCAGAACATATAATTTCTTTATTTATGAGAGTCTAAATTGAGGGGAACTTTGCATGTGTAACTAGAGCAGTTTAAAAGCAGATCCTAGAGTGGTCTGGTGAAAAGAGATGGGAATAAGATTCTTACAATCCAGTAGTGAGAAATTGTTATCATGACTAATTGCGACTGTTACAACAGTAAAGGTAGAAGTTCTGTAACAAAAACGAGGGAGTAGTTAATCTCACAGTCCAGGAACAGAGGACCCTAGGACCATAAAAGGAGAAAAACACTAAAGATGGAGGCAGAGACGAGGACATGGAGAGATAGAGCAGCTGAGGACTCTAGACTAATGGAAAGAGAAAAGGCCAGGAGGCAGGCTTGTAGAATGTGCCCTTTGGTTGTTTATATGATTACATATTCCTGAGTGTCTTTGTGTACGTACCACTCCCCACACCCCACCTGCCAAAAAACACACACAGAGAGGATAAAAGCAAATACTGTTGAATGATGATGCATGGAGGAGATCGTAATCATTGCAATGAAATGATTGAGTGTAAAACCAATGTTTCCCCCATGTAAACTATCACTCAATTCACAATAAAAACTTAAAATGAAAAAAGAAAAAGCAGATCCTTACTTAACAACATTTTAAAGTCTAGAATCTATGTTGAATTTTATAGCTAATTTTACTAATAGCCGGGAGAAAGATGAGCTGTCTGTTCCCATAAAGATTTACAGTCTCCAGCATCCTATATAGCAATTTTAATAGTAGGTTACCAGACAAACCCACCCTGCTGTTGTCCTGCAACCATCCTGTAATAAAATGAAGACCTCAACCTTTGACCATGTGTTATCCACCTAATACTGCTAAACCCCGAGTGATAGAGCCTTTAGAGATCCCAACTTTGACTCTTAGGATGGTCTTTCAGCCAATTATGATTTTGTAGCTTTTAGTTCTGCTCCAACACTACAAAAATGTTTTCTTCCTCATTGTCTGGTATAGTAGCAATCTTTACTCTGTAAATTTGGAAAGCTTTCTGGTCTGCACCAATTCTAGATTTCAATAAATCTCTTAATTTTAGTGTTTCAGAGACTGTGCTTTCACTCTGGAACCCTAATGGCATTGAGGGCTAGGTACTGGGCTGTTAACCAAAAGGTTGGCAGTTCAAACCCACCAGCCACTCCAAAGAAGAAAGGCAAGACAGTCTATTCCTATAAATATTTAAAGTTGCAGCAATATTATTATGTAAATTTGCTATGCGTCAGAATTGTCTCAACGGCAGTGGGATTGGGGTTTTGGGGTTTTCACTCTAGGATACTTACAAAGATTCTGTTTTTGTTTTTAAACTACACCCACCTTTGTCCTAGAATGTATTCTGTGTAAGCAGGCATCTCAATATTGATGTATCCTAAGACCCTTAAATAGGCACTCAATGACATCGGTGGAATGAATACATGAATGACTTCAGCCTATTTTATGGTTGTGTCATGAGATTTAAAAGAAATAGTAAATGCCTGGCATTTAAACTTCAGCACAATCTTCTGTCAGTCTGTTGTACTGTGGGGAGTTTTGTGTTGCTGTAACACTGGAAGCTATGCCATCAGTATTTTAAATAGCAACAAGCTTCCAGACTAAGACAGACTAGGAAGGAGAGGTGGACTACTTCTAAATGTTTAGCCATTGAAGAGCTTATGAAGACCAGCAGAATATTGTCAGATATAGTGACAATAAATGAGCCCCTCAGGTTGGAAGGCACTCAAAATATGACTGGAGAAGAGCTGCCTCCTCAAAGTAGAGTAGACCATAATGACATGAATGAACTAAAGCTTTTGGAACCTGCATTTGTTGATGGGGACACAATTCAAAATTAGGAGAAATACCTGAAAACACCCATTGATAATTGGAACATGGACTGTATGAAGTATGAAACTAGTAAAATTGGAATTAGTAAAAAATGAAATGGAATGCATAAAAATCAACATCCTAGGCATTGTTGTTGTTGTTGTTGTCAGGTGCCATCGAGTAGCGTAGTGGTTACGAATCGGGCTGCGAACCTTAAGGTCAGCGGTTCGAAACTACCAGCCGCTCCGTGGGAGAAAGATGAGGCTTTCTACTCCCGTAAGGATTTACACCCTCGGAAACCCTGTACAGGGTCGCTATGGGTCGGAACCGACTCGACGGCACTTAACAACAATCCTAGGCATTAGTGAACTTAAATGGCCTATATTGGCCATTTTTAATCTGACATTCATCTGATTTACTATGCTGGGAAGGACAAATTCAAGAAGAATGGTGTCACACTCATTATAAAAAAGAGAATTTCAAGATCTATCTTGAAAAATGCATCTGAGATAGGATAATATCCATATGCCTATAAGGAAGACCAGTTAATACCACTACTAAAGGTAATGTTGATGAATTTGAAGAATTCTACCAACTTTTTCCATTTGAAACTGATCAAATATGCAATCAAGATGCACTAACACTTACTTATGGTTGGAACCCAAGGAGGAAGGATCAGTAATTGGAAAATATAGCTTTGGTGATATAAATTATGCTGGAGACTGCATGA